TATGTTTCGAAATTATAATTTGACCCTTGGCCGTCAGCGATAATGTCTAGAATAAATAAGTTAACATTTCCAGGGTTACGTCTCAAACTAAAAATTTGACCTTTGACCGTTCAGGATTATGTCTACCATTACTACTTTAACGTTTCCAGGGTTATGTCTAGAACTAAAAATTCGACCTTTGACCGCTAACGATAATGTCTAGAATAAATAACTTAACATTTCCAGAGTTAGGTTTCGAACTAAAAAATTAACCTTTGGGTTTTTTCACCTGTACAAGACATATATATACATATTACAAATTTTTCCTATTTTTTCCGATCTTTTTCTGGTATCTATCATGTATTTCAATAAACTGGTATTTTTATTTGATCTTTGGGTTTTATGATCTGTACAACATATATTCATATATGCTTGAATTTTTCGCTATTTTTCCGATACTTTGCTAGTGCCTATCATGTATTTGAATAAACGCGGTATTTTTATTTGACCATTGGGTTTTTTCACATGTACGACATATATTCGTCTATATTAGAATTTTTCTGTGTTTTCCAGATACTTTTTTAGTCGTTGTCATGTATTTGAATATATTCCGTATTTTTATTTGACCTTTGGGTTTTTTGACCTGTACAACATATATTCATATATATTAGCATTTTTTGGTATTTTTCTGATACTTTCCTAGTCTCTATAATGAATTTGAGTAAACTGGGCATTTTTACTTCATTTTAGGGTTTTCTGACCTGTACAACATATATTCGTCTATATTCGAATTTTTCGGTATTTTTCCGATATTTTTCTAGTCCGTGTCATGTATTTGAATATGTTGCATATTTTTATTTGATCTTTGGGTTTTATGACCTGTACAACACATATTCATATATATTAGAATTGTTCGGTATTTTTCCGATATTTTTCTAGTCTGTGTCATGTATTTGAATATATTGCCTATTTTTATTTCACCTTTGGGTTTTTTGACCTGTACAAGATATATTCATCTATATTGGAATTTATCGGTATTTTTCCGATATTTTTCTAGTCCGTGTCATGTATTTGAATATGTTGCGTATTTTTATTTGATCTTTGGGTTTTATGACCTGTACAACACATATTCATATATATTAGAATTTTTCGGTATTTTTCCGATATTTTTCTAGTCTGTGTCATGTATTTCAATATATTGCGTATTTTTATTTGATCTTTGGGTTTTATGACCTGTACAACACATATTCATATATATTAGAATTTATCGGTATTTTTCCGATATTTTTCTAGTCTGTGTCCTGCATTTGAATATATCGCGTATTTTTATTTGACCTTTGGGTTTTTTGACCTGTACAACATATATTAATGTATATTAGCATTTTTTGGTATTTTTCTGATACTTTCCTAGTCTCTATTATGAGTTTGGGTAAACTGGGCATTTTTGCTTGACTTTCGGGTTTTTTCCCCTGTACAAAATACATTCTTCTGTACGAGAATTTTCCCGATTTTTTCCGATATTTCCCTAGTCTTTGTCATGTATTTGAATTTTTTGCGTAGTTCTCCTTTACCTTTTGTTTTTTTCACCTGTATGAGATATATTATGAATGTTCTGATATATTATCAATCAGGAGACTTATCTTTACTGAATTTCATGTTTTTGAATACGATATCGTTAATTTGAATTTTTTGGCTATTTCTGCTAAGCCTTTGGGTTTTTTGACCTGTATGAGATATAATATGGATGATTCGCATATATTATCATTCAGGAGAATTTTCTTTACTAAATTTAACGTTTTTCAAGACGATATCGTTTGTTTGAATATTTTGGGTATTTCCGCTAAACCTTTGGGTTTCTTGACCCGTATGTGATATATTATGAAGGATTCTGATATATTATCAATCACTAAAATTTTCTTTAATATATTTCATATTTTTCAAGACGATATCGTTTGTTTGAATTTTTCGGGTATTTCTGCTAAACCTTTGGGTTTCTTTACCCGTATGAGAATATATTATGAAGGATTCTGATATATTATCAATGAGGACAATTTTCTTTAATATATTTCATATTTTTCAAGACGATATCGTTTGTTTGGATTTTTTGGGTATTTCTGCTAAACCGTTCGGTTTTTGACCTGTATGAGATATATTAAGACTGATTCAGATATATTATCAAACAGGAGAATTTTCTTTCATTTATTTGATATTTTTCAAGAGGATATCGTTAATTTGAAGTATTAGAGTTTTTCTGCTTGATCGTTAGGTGTTTTGAGTTGGATCAAATATATTATATTATTTCTCCAGGCAAGTGCTGATTAATATTAGATTGAAATGTACGATGATTGATTAGTTGTTCTGATGGAGAATGTGGAGTTTGAGTTGTAGGCAGATGTTCACTAAAATGGTAAATAATATGAAAGAACTCATTTTGACATCGTTGATCGTTTCTTTTTATCGCAAAATAAATACTCACATTGAATCTTTGTTAATACCAGTCATCTGAAGGACATTGTTGTTATTGAACATTTTCGTGAATAATGTATATCTGAAACAATCAAAAAGATAATATATTTCTAGTTCGAAGATAAATATATGTTTTGGGGAGGCGAGATGATAAGATTAATAGTAAATTGATGCCAGCTATAGGTTAATAAGTGTCATCAGGTCCAAACTATATGCTTTTGTGGACTATCCTAAGACCTTCTTTTTTGAGGGTGGTACTATGCACAATAGTATTTAATATATCATATAAGGATGGTCTCGATCATCATTGTTTCTTTTAATGGTATATATATATATATTTGAATATGTTAGTGAGAATACGTCTTCTGAATGGACATTTGATGTGAAGAATGGTTGCTTTGTGAGATCTAGTAAGCCATATCAAGCATGGATGAGCTGTTGTTGATATATTAATTCGATCATTAGCACGATATCATTGCTTTTTTATGGTAAGAAGGCAGTTTAATCTAGAATAGAAGAGAACTAAATAATAATGTTTACTTTTCAAATCTAATTCGAATGAAAAAGGTAACTACTTTTTAGAAACAAACACAATAATTCATATAACAAAAATGTTAGAGACACTAGCATCTCAGCTGTTATAGTGATTGACGAAAAAAATTATCATCAAGCTATAATGATCAGCAAATATCTAGATCTTATAATGGAAAAAAGTTTAGAATGTTCACAACACAAAAGAAAAATAATAGAAGAAAATAGAAAAAAAATCTTTACATTTTGAGTAGACCAAAGAAAAGGAATGTCAATGATGAAATTGTTTCGTCGTTGTTGTCTGAACCGCCCCTGTGCTAGATTCCATTTTTGTCAACATTATCCGTGGAGGCTTTTTGTGAATTAAAAGACTTTGTAATGTACGATTTAATATTGTACCAAGAATGAGTCGTGTATTTTTCAAACGTGATCCTGGATAAACATAGTATTTTTGCCATATTTCACGATATTCTTTTTTAAAATTTAGCAGTGGTCCATTTTCGAATGTGTAATGAAGGTAAATTTGATCTTTATGCTCATATTTTTTCTTTTTTTGAATTAAATTATCATTATTTTGGATTTTTGTTTCCTTTTCTCTTCTTGTTTCTTTGTAAAGTAATTTATGATGTAGCTGTTGATATGCTTCACTATTTAACTCAGTCGGCACATTCATAGCATCATATTTCATAAAGAAGCTTTTCATGTGTTGTTGTATAAATTTTGGTGGATAACCATTGACTAATAATATCATTTCTGTATTTAATCGTTCCATATCAAAATATTCAACAGTTGAACAAAGACGTGCTGCTCGAATTAATGCAGTATAAATTATATTTGCATGAACATGTCGTGGATGATCAGATTCAAAAGGTAGAATATACGGTTCTGAAGCTGATTTATGATAAATAGATGTTTTTAAATTTCCATTATCATTTTCAATAGTAACATCAAGATATTCTAATGATTGATTAATCGAAGTAGTAATTTTTATATTTGAATCTGTTATAATAGTTTCATCGAGTTCTTTTAAAATTTCTTCTTTTGATAAATTCGTTGTCATAAATACATCGTCAATATATCTATAATCATTTATCATTATTAGTAGAAAAATACATAAAACTGATAAATTAAAACTTACCGTCCATAAATTTCATGATGTTCTTTTTGATGTTGAATTAATTTTTGTTCCCATTCTAACATATAAATATTGGCTAGCACCATCGTAAAGGGTGAACCCATCGCACCTCCTTTAATTTGTCGATAATATTTATCTTTATAAGCAAATGAATTGGTGTCTAAAACAACACAAGCTAATTGAATAATAGTATCGACTTTGATATTTCCAATTTTGCCATTGTTTGCATATTTTTGACAAAATCGAGTTAAAGCAGCAATAGCACCATCCCGTGGTATCATTGTATATAAATCAGCCACATCAAAGGTCAGAAATAATGTTGTTGATGTAAGATAACCTTGTTGTTGATATTCTTGTAATTTTCGAACAACATCTATACCATTAATAAATGTAATATCTTTTGTCACATAATTATAAATTGGTGTAAGAAGTTCATCAAGAAAACTGGATATTTGTCTAGCTGGTGCGTTGATAGAAGCAACTATAGGTCGAACTGACATTTCAGGCTATAAAAAACAAAATAGAATAACTATCAAAAAAAAAAGAAAAGAATCATTTTACCTTATGTACTTTAAGATTAAAATAAATATGAGCTAATTCTAATGTTTTTAAATTTGGATACATTTGTTTATACTGTTCATTGGTAATTTCATTCCGCTGAACTAAATGATCAAGTAATAATATTACCAAATGTAAATTGTCGGCTAATGGGCAAATACCACTGGAAATTTCTTGATAAGCATTGGTTTTATTCATATAGTTTGTAATTTTTTCTTGATATTCCTGTGCATCAATAAAGAAGAATAATTTACTTTTATCAGTTTGACCAACGGCAATATTAGCTTTTTGTAATTTTCGCTGCATTGACTTTATCATTTTGTACATATATCGTGCGTGTCGTTTAAGTTTTGTTGGTAATGGTTTGGTATATAACTGTTCAAGTAAATTTTTTATTTCAGTAAAATATTCAATAGCACGTTTATCACGAGTTGAAAAAGTGTAATCAGTAAGATTTTTAATATTTTCGTCATAGAGTCGACTGTATTCTCGTTCAATAATTTTTTCTACAGGTTGACGGTGATAGAAACGACTTTGACATGGTGGAATATATTTTAAACCTTTATTAATAATAAGTAATTGTTCATTTGAAAATGGTATAATAGTATTGACAAAATATAAGCTGAGAAGCATATTTGGATGATTTCGAAGATTTAATTTTAATTTGCTCCGACGCCATCGTTCTTCATTGTATCGTCTTGTGACGCCGGAGCTTCGTCGAAAAAAGATTTTAATTGTCGTTGTGTAATATAATCAGCTCGTTCAATCATATGTTTTTCACGTGCTTCTGTAGCTGCCATTAATTGTTTGAATGCATCAGAATTGGAATCCTGTTTCTTTAATTTATCTGTAATCATTATTAATTTCTTTTTTTCTTTTTTTGCTATTTTTTCATAATATCGTACTTTTTCTTCACCAGCTGCAATACTTAATTCAAGTAAATCATATTTAAATCGACCAACTTTTTTTAATCGTCGAGCAGCTAATATAGTTTGTTGTTTGCTATCATCATCAGTAGTCGAAGATTGTTTTGATCGGTTAAGTATTTTATCAATTTTATCAAGCGAATAATCAAGAAGATTGAAGGCTGGTGGTAAACAATTGGAATGAATACGATGTTTTAATATTTGAATTTGTTCTTCCATTTGTTTTTTATCATAGATTGCTTTCCATAGATTACGAATTGAACGAATTTGTTGTTGACTTGGTTTAAAATCATAAACTGTTTGTACTAAACGATGATCTGTTGAGTCAAGCATTAACATTTTTTTATTATATTCAAATTGTTGTTTTAATTTATGTTGACCTTTTCGGACAAGTGCTGTAACCATTCCGGATAATGTGGTAAAGTCTAATGGAGGATTCATTTCAGATAGACATGGAGGTAATGGTTCATTGGCAAATTGTTTTAATGCTTCTGATGCTTGTTGAAGTTGTCGTTGTATAGTTTTTAAACGTTGTAAAATTAATGTTTTTGATCGACCATAAGTATAAATCATACTATTCATTGCAGCCCATTTTTTAGATACACGTCCTGACCAAATATTTTCTTCCATACCTATATCATAATAATACTTCCATTGTTCTTCTTGTAACTGTACATAAAATAGACGATGAATTAAATAAGCATATTGACGAATATAATTAATTTTTCCACTTGTATTTAGTCGTTTCACAATTTTATCAGCACCTTCTAATGAACTAATTAACATTTGTCTAAATATACGATTTGATACTTTTAAATAATCAGGTATATAGGAATCATCATTATTATGATTAATTTGTTTTTTGGATTTCGAATTTTCCTTTTTTGATATTCCATTTGTTGTTACTTGTTCAATTTGATCAACGTGATTATTTATCGTCTTTTGTTTCTTCGGTGATGGTTGTGAAATAGATAATTGACTTAAAGATTTATCAATTGTATTCGATGATTGTTTTGATGATTTTTCAATTCTTTTGCGTTTTATTGATTCATTTACTGTACTATCATCATGTTTATCTTTATGTTGTGTCGATTGAGAAACCTATAGCATTAGGGGAATATTTTTATATTATAGTTTATAACAAAAGTAGACATTACTCGATCGAGTGGTGCAGATACTTGTATTTCATCTCGCATATCTTCTTGTATTGCTTCATCACATTGTTGTTGTTGAGAATTTAATTTTTCATTAACTGTTTGTGTAATTGTATCTGGATCTATACCTTTTCGACGAAGTCGTCGACGTCGCCGTTGTGCTTTTCGATCACCACGACATTTTCTCTTCTTTTCCTCTTTATGATGCTCCTGTGGTTGTTCTGGTTCCTGTTGTTGCTGTTGTCCAGTCAATACTTGTGTTGGTGAAAGTAATTCATACCAGTGACCTTGAGCATCTTGACTTGGAGTTTTTAAAATTGATGTCATCGTTGAATTTGTTTCAGTATTATTCATTTATGTAGACGAATAAATATCTAAAATGAAAAGAGAAAAGATAAAAACTTCAAAAAGTAGGAGTTAATAATAACGGAAAACCTAGTTTTTATTAGGGTTCACAAAAAAATCAACTATACAATACATAACAACAGTAACAAGAAAAAAAAAAGTTTTATGACTCAACACAATCATTTTGTATTCGATGGATATTTTGGTCGATGAATGACTTCATACTTCATATTACTAAATTGGCGTTCGGTTTTCAAATAATCTTCCTGTATGGGTTTGATATCTTGTTGAAAATCGTACAACTCTTCTCCATCAAGATCAGTTATCATGTAACATATAAGTTCGTTTTGCTCTTTTTGTCGCTGTTGTATTTTCATTTCTTGACGTTGTTGATCATACTCGATGATATCTTGACGCATTTTATCATAAACATTTTCGTTAAAATCCGATCTCCAATTAAAAACATGAAAACATTGAAAGAATTGGTTAATATGTTCTCGAATATATTCGATTGAATAACCGTTCTTTATAAATATAACTTCAATATCACGACGTTCATTGTCAAAATCAGATTCTTTTGAGCAAATTAATGCAGCACGAATAAGACATGCTTGAATTAATGTTGAATACATTCGAGGTGGATGATCTGATATATAAGGTAATCCACGTGGTTCAATATCATGATCATGATTAATTGTAGATCGAAGGTGACTATTAATATAACTTATTTTAACATCAAGATAATTAATATTTTTTCCAATTGAACTAGTTATTGATAATTTTGGATATTTTTTATGGATCATTCGCTTAATAAGTGATTGAAGTTCTCGTTTTGATTTATTCCATGTTAAAAACATTTCATCTAAACATCGGCCAAATATTTCATTTTTATTAACTAATATTTTAACTAAATCTTCTTGCCAATAAAACATATAAATATTAGCTAATAGATGATTTAATGGTTGACCAGAACCACAGCCTTTAACTTGTCGATAAACTTTGTTCTTGAAAATAAAATATTGATTTTGTAGAACATAACGTATTAATTCAATAATAGTATGAATAGTTACACCTTGAATTTGTCCATCTGGTACATAATCGTTGAGAAACCGTTGTAATGCTTTTATCAATTGCTCATGAGGTAAAATTGTACATAAATCATTGACATGTAAAGTAGCAAATAATGTATTTGATTGTAAATAACCTTGTTTGGCATAGTTTTCGAGCGCACGTACAGCATTACTTTCTTTGAAAAAAGTTGTTGAATGTGTCACTTGATCATAGATAGGTTGAAGACGACGATTCATATAGCGAGATATACCAATGGTAGGTCCCAAGCAACAGATCATAACAGGTTGAAATGGAATATTTTTCTAAACACATACAGGCATATATTCTCAAAAGAACATAATAAAAAAAAAAGAAAAAACGTTTACTTGATGTGCATCCGGTAAAAAATAGAGATAATCCATTTGAACTATAGATCGTTGCACACTCATTTGTTGAACTTGTATATTAGTGAGACATTGACGTTCAAGTAAATCATTTAATAATGAAGTAACCTGTTCGACGCTCTTGTTTAAATGTTGTTGAACATAAATTGGATTGGTTTCATTGAGTTCTTGAATTAATGAATAAGCACCTGTTTGCGTCATATGTTTAGACACTTTTTCATCCATTTCGTATTTGTCGCACAAATAAATTGTATTACTATTGAACATATCTAGTAATACACCACCATTATTCTTTACTTCTTGTTGAAAATATTGAGCATCAATCGCCGGTAGATCAGTTTGAATATGTTCTTGTTGCCCTTCGTGTAAGAATGGATATCCCAAGTAAACATCACCTGGACCAATTTCTTGACCAGGTGGTTCATTTTCAGCTTCGTTTTCGTTCGATGAACTTGTATGGTCCGGATTATTATATTTTTCATTCACAAGTCGACGAAATATATTAATTAAATACATGGCATCGTTTGACATTTTTTATGTAAATGTTATAAAGTAATTGTTGTGTATATATTGTAGAAAATTTCTATCTGAAATGAAAAAAAAAGTCATTTAAATTTACAAAATTTCTTTAAAGTTTTATTTTACGAGGCATTTAATATATATAAAAAAATAGATAGATTAGTTTCGAATTGTGCAATACCAAAGGCTACGAGGAAGCCCTAAGTAAAATATTAACAGACCTAATAAAGATGGTTCAGAATAGATGCAGTTATTCTTGTCAGTCGAGATTACAGTAGAAGAGTCGATGTTGCTGCTGTTGTGTTAATCCACGAAATGAATTCATCACAGGGAGAGCGAGCCTATTTATACATAAGAAGGGAGCATAGAACGACAACAAACTATAACAGTAAACTACCACAGACGACAATAAACTATGATAAACGACAACAAAAGAGGAGAAAAAAAAATACGACAACTAAAAACGATAAACGACAACAAACTATGATGAACGACAACAAAAGAAGAGAAAAAAAAATACGACAACTAAAAACGATAAACGACAGTAAACTATGATATACGACAACAAACTAGTACACACGACAACAAACTAGTACACTCGACAATAAATAACCAGAAAAAAAAGAAAAAAAAAATACGTCAACAAACTACGGTAGACAACAACAAACAGCGAGAAAAAAAAATACGACAATAAACTACGGCAGACGACAACAAACAACCAGAAAAAAAAAGAAAAAAAAATACGACAATAAACCATGGCAGACGACAACAAACTATACCTAACGACAACAAACTAACGGTCATGTCTCAGATTTTTATTTTCTCCTTGAACTTTTAACAGTTAATTTTCAAATTTTGATTTTTAACGGTCCTATTTTCAAAATAAGTCGACCCTTGAACTGTAAACAGTTATGTTTGGAATTTGGAAAGTATGATGTTTGACTTTTGGCGATCATGTTTCAAAGCTAATATGATCTCTGAACTTTCAGGAATTTCGTTTCAAATTTGAAATTATATTTTCTAGTGGTTTTCATTCCAATAAAATCTGACCTTTCAACTTTTACTGTTATGTTTCAAATTTGAAATTGTAGTTTTTAACGGTCATCTTTTGAATGTAGCTGACCCTCGGAATAGTAGTTTACTATTAGATGGAACTTGCTGAACTATACATTTTTGCTCCTGTCTTAGTGGTTGTACAATGTTTTTTTTTTTATTTCAAAAATGTTGCGAAATTTTGGCAAACTATAATGATTATGTTTTTGTACATACACTGACAAAAAGTTTTGCCTAATAGTTCATTGGATAGTACTAGTCGAGACCTATAATTTTTCTGTTCAATCCGATTTATCTTTTATGGACGACAGAATTATATAAAAAATAGTAAAGTATTTTTCTGATTTAGAATACAAATATTCGAATTTAAGCATCTTGTCTTGTGTACGGTAATGTTTTCTACACGATTGTTGCTGTATCGTTAAATAAGCATCATATAGATTTCTTTTTTTTTTTCTTTTTTTTTTTTTTTATTCATGAAGAAAAGAAATTTACATATATAACAACAACAAGAAAAATACTTTATAATACAAAAAAACAGAAAAAAAAATCTAATTGTTTAAGATTCCCAGTCATAGGAATCGAATGGATCATAAGCAAATGGTGATGGTGGTAAAGACAATGATATAAATGATCCATTATCTTCATTATTATCATCATTATTCTCATCATCAGTTAAAAAATAATCGTCGGACATTGATGATGAGAATTCAGATTCTACATTATAATCATCGACTGATGTTTCATTTTGCTCGTCATTGTCACTACAAATGGTGAAGGAAATTAATAATATTAAATAATAACAAGAAATAAAATTTTATGAAAACAACTTACTTTGCAATTTCAATATCAAATGGACGATCAATAAGAATTAGTCGACGAGAAAATGGCAAGACAAGCTAAATTAAAGAAAAATTTATTGTAACAAGAAAAGATATTAATTTTTCTATTTTACTCGTCCATTTTGATTGACATCTAATAATTGTATTAATTGCCAATAAATATTGTTATTATTATTATTGTTATTCTAGAAGAAAGGAAACATAAAAAAAAAATATTTTAATTTATCTAATTTTTTTTCTTCTTACTTGTTGTTGATGTTGTTGTACAAATGACATTGTTTTTTTTTGTTTAATACAAATTATAATAATTTTTATAAATATATATATCTAGAATAGAAAAAAAAATGATTTAATTATTTCAGTCATATGCAAAGGAGCATTTTATTTTTTTGCGAACATTGACATGGAATGTTCTAGATGATATAGATATTTTAATCATTGCTAATGTGACGATTTTTCTTTTGTAATAAAGACGAAGTCAAGTGAATGAGAATAGGTAGACATGAAAATTGATCATAAAAATAATTACTACGGCCGAAAGCGGGACAAATTAAGGCTACGAATAAGAGAAGGTAAGCAAGGTTAGTTTGTCTGATCGATACAAGTTAACACGAACAACTCATTTCTGTATAATTAGATAACAACTGATGCGTCTGTTTAACGAAGAAAAAATGGGGAAAAATGGAAAAACAAAAAAGGAGGAAGAAAACGACGAATGGATAGAGGACAAAGAACACAATAACCTTACACGCAAGCTAGTGCCATCTATTGAAGCTAATAATTTATTTCATAAACAATACTTTACTAAAATAAACATCAAACAATATTTGACTAAAAAAAATCAGAAATATCATGTAAAATTAATATTTCCATTTTCATCTTCTATTCTTAACTAATTTATTCGAAACCATTACAAAAATATTGAATTCATTTTAATTTTTGATAAATATAAATCACAGTGCAATTCTCCAAGTTTTATTATTGATTTCTGTTTTTCTATATTGATTTAAAAATAAACTTTTATCATTCTATGCAAAAGTGCATGTAGCTAAAATTTGTTTTTTTTTATTATTTATAATTCATCATATTATTTCATTTATTATGAAGAAACATGAGGCATATTTATTTTATAAATGAATAAAAATTCTAATATGTATGATTGAACAGTAGTTTATAAATGTATTTCAGATATTTTATTTTCAAAACAAAAGATTTCACACTCAAAACTTTTCAAAAAAAAAAATATATATATGTACACAACAACAAAAAAAGAAACAATAATAAAAAAAAGTTTTTTTTTTCAGGTTTTTAACATTCCCAGTCATAAGATTCATAAGGATCACAAACAAATGGTGACGGTGGTAAAGACATTGTTCCAAATGTTGTATTTTGTTCACTTCCATTTTCACAATAACTAGATAAAGAAGATTGTGTTGTTGATGGTGTAGGTTCATATGGTTGACGTTGACATAGCATACATGTATCATAATGTTTGTTACCAGATCTAGAAAAGAAAAAAATATATAAAATAGAAATATATTTGAAAGAATTTTTTTTTCTTGGAACAATTTTCTTTTCATACGTTTTTTTAATTGGACGATCAATTAGAATCAAACGACGAGCAAATGGTAAAATAAGCTAAATAATGGAAAAAATAATAGATTACGAATAGTAAAGAAATGTTGGACATTACTCTTCCATTTTGATTAATTTCAAGTAGTTTAACTAATTCCATGTAAAGTTTAAAAGAATTCATCTAAAAAAAAATATTTCAAAATTATGTTTATTCTTTTTTTTTTTTGTTTTTTTTTTCTCACTTTTTGTTGTTGTGATGTTGTTAACGACATATTTTTTATTTAACGCAATAATTAATAATTTTTTTTTTATCTGAATATATATATCTAAAATAAAAAAAATTGATTATTTATTAATTTTTTTTCAAAAAGTTTTTATATAAATTTCAATATTGCAGGTTAAAATAATAAACTTTGTTTGAATCAACTGTAATATTATAATCTTAA